GTCATGTTCAAACTAATGGCCCTGGTTGCTGAGCTCACTCAAGTGGGCTCCCCAGCCCAGATCCGACGCATCTGAAACCAGGGTAAGCGACGGGGAACCCCGGGCAGCACCGACTTGGGATCCAGCCACCAATCCAGGGACGAAAGGATGTGGTTTGGCACCGTGATCACTTGGTCCAGGATGCGCCTGCTGGGGACAAAGACCGAGGCCAGGCATTCTCCATATTCCTGGGTCACAGGTAAGTAAGCGTCCTTTAAGTTGAGAGCAGCGTACCAGTCTCCTGGATCCAGGAAGAGGATGATGGAGGACAGGGAGCCCATGTGGAACTTCAACTTCTTGAGAGACTTGTTGAGGCGACACAGGTCCAGGATGGGTCTTAGGCGCCCTTTTGCTTTCAGGATTAGGAAGTAGTGGGGGTAGAATCCTTTTCTTTCCATGTCTTGAGGAACCACCTCCACAGCCCCCAGGCACAGGAGCTTTTCGACCTCCTGAATGAGGAGTTGCTTGTGAGAAGGGTCCCTGGAGAGGGATGGGGAAGAGGGTGGGTGGGAGGGGGGGCAGCCGTACATTGCAGGGTATAGCCCCAAGATATTATATCCAGGATCCAGTGGTCCGAGGTTACTCACAATCAAGCCAAATGGTAAGGGCGGAGACGGTCGAGGAAGAGATGGGGAGGATCCGGGTGGCTGACTGAGGCATGGCTCTCGAGTGCACCCTCAAAATGAGCACTTTTGGCCCCCTACATATTTGGCGGGCCCAGGTTGCGCAAATGAGCAGGAGGAAGAAGGGTGTTGATGGCTAAAACTAGTGTCCCTTCTTCTAGCAGAGCCCTGAAGGGGCTGCCAGGGTCTTGGCGGTGGGGGCGTCCGGAAGGGGTTATGAGCAGACTGCGGTGTGTGCATGCCCAACGAGCGAAGGGTGGCTCTAGTGTCCTTCAACCCATGCAGCCTGGCATCTGTCTGCTTGGAGAAGAGACCAACCCTTTGGAAAGGAAGGTCCTGAATCAAGGTCTGCATCTCCTGGGAGAAGCCCGCTGTTTGGAGCCAGGAGCTGCGCTGCATAATCACCGCCGACACGACCACCCAAGCCGCTGAGTCCACCACATCCCAGGCCATTTGCAGGGAGCATCTGGCCACTGCGGTGCCCTCCTCCACCAGGGTGCTGAACTCCTGGACCAAACCCTGCAGGAGGGATTCCTGGAACTTTCTGAGACCGTCCCAGAGATTAAAGTTACATCTGCCAAACAGAGCTTGATGATTCGCCACTCAAAATTGTAAGCTGGCAGTACTTGTGAGTCGAGGAAGTATGACCGTGCTTGTCCCTCTCGTTGGCTGCAGACACAACCAACAAGCCTGGGGGTGGGTGGGTATAAAGATATTCAAATCCTTTGGCTGGAACAAAGTACTTTTTTTTGGCCCTTTTGGAGGCGGGAGGAATGGAAGAGGGGGTTTACCATAGGGCCTTGGAGATCTTAAGAACCTCTTTACGCACGGGTAGGGCGATCCGGGTGGGCATAGAGGCTGAGAGGACATTGAAGAGAGTGTCCTCTTGCTCCGCCATTTCCTGCACCTCCAGCCCCAAATTCTTGGCTACACACAAGTAATGCCTGATATTTCTTGAAATTGTCCGGCAGGTTAGCCCTTGAAGGTCCCGTGACTGCCTCGTCCAGAGCCGATGAGGAAGATTGGACCACCAGGAGAGGTCCCAGGGTTTCGACTACTGCTGGAGAGGGAGGCTTATGGGTGGGCACAGGCTCTTCCACTGCAACCTCTGAATGGGCCCCCGGCACTGAGCCTGGTGCGGTCGGTGCTGCCGACTGGAGTTCCGATGCAGCGAACAAAGAGCGCTGCAAAGGGGGCATCATCATATCCCACACGCTGCAATAAGGCCACTGCGCTGGCCACTGGCCGTGCTGCCACTGCGGTGACGCAGACGACGGTGCGGGTTCCGGTGCCCAATCCCACCAGTGGGGCCTAGGCAATGGGCTGAACTGGCCCTCCGTGCCAGAGGAATCACCTTCCTGCGACCAGGGAAGGGCTGTCAATCCCTGGGTTTGTTTACTGGTTGTGGCTACCGGCAACTGATGACCAGAGGTGGGAGACTGGTGTCAGTACCGGGGAGATTGGTACCAGTGATGGGGAGACCGGTGCCGAGACAAGGAACTCTCCCACTGCACCAACGATCAGGACCGACGTTGAGAAGACAACCGATGGGAGGACGACTGGTGCCAGGAATAGTATGGGAAGTATCGACCCCATACAGGTGAGTGACACTGAGGGAAACTGGACGCTAGTCTGAGCGACCAATGACAGGTCTCAGATCCTCGAGTCTTGGATCCTCAGCGTGGCGAACAGGAACGTCACCTCCTCTCTGGTGACCAGCAGTGTTCCGCCTGCCCCTTGAGGGGTCTTGGTGGCTGGCTTGCCTTCTTAGGGAGCCTTAGCTGAGTCCTGCAGCACCAGAGTCATCATCGGAACAGGTGGAGACCTGTGGTCTCTCTGCCCCTGGGGAGCCTGGGCAGATGACAGTGCCGGCAGGGGCATGGGTCCAATACCACTCCCAGGAGTTGGTGACGGACCTTTGAGGAGACTGGGGGCCCCAACCGGGGAGGCATGAGGACGTGGCTCCGGAGTAGCCTGGTGGGTAGGCCCAGGTCCCTTGGCCGTTGACCCTTGGGCCTTTTTGCTTGGAGCTAGGGAGCTGCACTTTTTTGTTTTCTTTTTCGGCACCGGCGATGGCGCTCGGTGCTGGGAAGAACTGGGTGCTGGCGGCGCACTGTGCATGGAGGCCAAGGTGCTCGGTGCAACCTGTCATGACGGCTCAGAAGCTGGGTGAAGGGCAGACTGCATCAAGAGGGCCCCAATACGAATGTGTCACTCTTTTTGGGTTCGGGGCCAAAAGTTCTTACAGATCTGGCACTGATCCTTAATGTGTGACTCCCCCAAGCACTTAAGACAGCTGCTATGGGGGTCACTAACAGGCATAGGCCTGTTGCAATCTGAGCAGGGCTTAAACGCGGGAGACCGGGACATGCCCCACCTGAGGCAAAGTCCCCACTGGGACCTTAACTAACTACACTTAACAACTTAACTAACACTATACACAAACTATTTAAAAAAGGCCCTAAGGCATGAAAAAACCACTAGCACTTGCTAAGCAAGGAAGGCCCTCCGACTAACCACCTCTGGCGTTAAGAAGGAACTGAGAGGGCGTAGGGCCGGCAGCGCCTGATATACCATTGCATGAGTGCGGCACTCCAGACAGCGCCACAGCTAACCCTACAGATACCACTAAGGCAAAAATCTCTGACGACTGCACACATGGGCGCATACACACCTAGAATGGAATCAACATGAGCAATCACTCGAAGAAGAACTACGAACTAACTGAGGTAAGAGAGGGCACTGCTGATCACTCCAACTCAAGCTAAATGTGGTAGAAAAGGAACTGGGGGATGGTTGGCTGTGCACTGCCATGTAACCGCTCGGAGCGGCGCGTGCATGGCCCAACCGGGTACTGCTACCACAAATCTCTGATTACAAGCACAGGGCATCAAGACACCTTAAGTGGAGCACCTGCAGGGACACTCCTCGAAGAAGAATCTCTCCTTCTGTGTAATTCTCCGCATTTGTGCACATAACTGTTTTGTGTACTAGTACCCACTTGTGCATTAGATGGTAAGATTTTTTTGGAGCAAGGATTTTGTTTTGATTCTCCATTCTCTGCTGATCTAGCTCTTTATGGCACTGTGCATTAAACATTATATGAAATCTATTTTAGAATTTTGGCATTCAGATTTTGATTACATTTTTAAATATAACTCATTATGCTTCTTTTCCTAATTCTTCATATTTTAGTGTTATCCCCTTTCTGATTTTAATGTGCATTCCTATTTGCCTTTGATTGGTTCCCCTCATGCCCCTTTTCTGTCCTTTCCATGAGTAATGGTCTCTCCCTCCTTCCTCAAGTTTTCTCTTTCCTCATTCCCATGATTGCTTCATCCCTTCCAATCCTCCTTAACTTCTAGATTCTCCCCATCAATTTCCTCCATCTCTCTCTCCTCTCATCCCCCTCAGGTTTCCCCAACAATACCTTGGTCATCCATCAACGCGCATCCTCTCCCCTACTCATTTCTCAACCATGGAATGGAACTCAGCAGCTCCAGCCATTTATGGGCCCTGGGGAACAGCACCAGAAGGTGTCTGATCGCCAGTCCCTTTGTAAGGCTTAGGGGATTTCTCTCCCCTAACTGGATGTGAACAAGACAATAAAGCTGCATGGATCTTTGTTGCATTCTCAGAGCAGGGGAAGAAGCCGTGGATGTCAGGAGCTCTTGCTTCCAAACAGAGACTTCCCAACCCAAAGCAGTGCAGAGCTGGGCTTTGGCCTCCATCTACAGGTGCAGTGAGAGGCAGGTCCAGGTAAACCATGGGTTGGGTGCTAGGGCTCACGACAGGCACTCAGAATAGAGAATGGTAGCTAGCAAGGGGAACTCTTTCATTCTCTAGCCCAAGACATCATGCTGTATATGCTGTGATTAGCAGGAGGAAGACAGAAGCGCAGAATATATACACCGGTCAGAGGGAGCAGGCCAGCCCTGGGGCACATGTTTGAGACCAATGCTTGAGAACATCCTGCAATACAAATTCTTAGTTGCCCAGCAGCCCAGTCCAGGCTCTGTTTCAGCCGTATACACAACGATGCGTCCCTTGTCTTTGCTTCCACAGGAATGGAATTTAACAGAATACAAGACTGGAGAACAAACACTCAAAATAATATATACACTGCACAGTGCATACATATACACAAACTTCATATGAACGCCTCACTATCACCAAAGCAACTACTGTGAAAGGATGGCAGTGTGCTCAAGAGTGTGACAAAGTTTGGCACTGCCACTACATAGTTTCCATACAGCAGTTGATGGTTATGATTAATTCTGCACCTAACTGTATTTTTCCAGTTACAACCCAACAACATACATCTCTCTCCCCCCTCACCTGCATCTTCAGAGAAGGGGCTGAGCTGCGTGTAGCCACAACGGTTCCTCTTGTCTTTACTGAAGATGCTGTCTATGTTCAGTGACTCCCTTTTGGGTCTCCAGGTCGGACGGTACTTGCTAGATGAACTGGATTTGGATTCACTGCCGGTACTCTCCATTTCCCAGTCGCGAGAATGCACAGGCAAGTTCCTGGGGCGCCGTATCTTTGACTGACCCACTACATTCCCTCCACAAGGAGAGCCTTGGTTGGTCTGGGCTGGTCGGTTGTGGATTATATTGCTGACTGTCTCTTTAAACTCTCTAAGTCTGCTGGTGCTGCTGGATGGCTTAGGGGCAGTTCTGGGGGCTTGTTTCTCCTTCAATGTTTCCCCTGCAGTATACAAAGGAGAAGGCAAGAGGAACAAAAATAACTTCATTTTAAACTAGTAGCACTATTCACAACATCTTTCTGAAGCCATACAAAGGGAAATCAGCAAAGGCAAGACAGGCCAAAACACACAGACAGGGAGACACACAGCAAGGGAGGTGCACTTACACACAAAGAATCACAAAAACACATACAGACAGAGTGACGAAGTAATTAAAACAATGACCCTTGCCTTCACTATGGTATCCTGACGACTGTATCTCATCCCCTTTTCGCCGAGACCGGCTAGAACTCCTCTTGCGGTCAGTCAGTGAGCTCTTTTTGGAAATATGCCTCTGATTACATTCACTGTCAGTCAAGTGTCCTGAAAGAATAAGAGAACACAGTTTAGATGACAAGAGTCTTTGGATTGGTTGTTCAACATTCTAAGAATAGTAGGCCCTTCTCACTCTTCCTGACCTGCACAGACACTTCAATGGTAACTGGCAGCTTCTAGTAAGCAAAGTCATTTGCTTTAAATAATTTGTATCTAAAAGTTTTTAAAAATAGTCACAAAAGAGCAACAAAGCAACTCCAGGGACTGTGTTAAATGAGAGAGATCATCCACAGAGATGGGAAGCAGTTGATTGTGCCTTGTCTCATAATGCTCCAGGGACACCATTATCTTGCAATAGCAACACTCCAGCAGCTCTCGCACTCAAACACACACAGCTCTTAAACAAACATGGCTAGTTTGATTTTCTTCTCCTCTCAAATTCTCTTTTGCGCACTACACAAAAATCTTTTCTTTGGTTCAACTGAGTTAGAAAATATTTGTTCACAATTTAGCACAGATTTTCCCTGTAAGCATTTGCCCTTTGGTAAGAGTGCCTCATCCTCACACCAATTTATTACCAAGCTAATGACCACAATAATTTTTCTAATTAAGTTTGAAATCCCTTGAAGTGAGATTACCAATAATGGTTACAAGTGTGTAAGCACTCAGTTTTGTGGTTCCTAAAGTCTAAGACCCCAAATCTGTAAACACATGCATTTGTGTGACTTTACTAACATGAGCAGTCCCATTCCAAATCAGGACTGCTCCCAAGCAGGACAAAGATGGAGTTTGGGAAGGAGATCCAAAGGCTTTCCAGCCTTTCCACCATCAACTTCAATCTGGCATAGGTGTAGTGAATGAAAACTCCAATTCCCTGACAACTGTTCAATGGCCTTTGTGGGAGGAGCTGATGGTCCCAATCCAATTCCTCTTCAGAGAACCCATGTCGCAGAACTTGCCATTACAATTAGCTTTTTGAATTCATCTTTTAAAATAAATAATATCAAAATTCAAAAAATATATTAAAGCAAAAGGAGAATTTGCTTTTTAGGTAGAGGTGCTATATCAACAAATAAAGATGTGACAGTGTGCACGCAAGGGCAACCCACCCAAACGGAGGCTAATGAGATTGAAACATCCTGTGTTTCAATTTGTCTGTGAAGCCAAGGAAGAGTGTGATTTTGTAGTAGGTACTCTTTAGAAAGAGGCAATATATATGGAAGTGGGGAAAATAAGGAAAGAACAAGAGAGGCGTCCGAAGGGAAGATTGGGGGGAGTGGTAGGTAAATTAGGATTTAAGTGCCTGAGCAGGAAAGATGCCATGAAGTGGGTTTGGGGGAACTCATTCTTTCACAACATGACCTTTGGATGCCAGCAGGCACATAATGTTATTCTGTCAGTCTGTAAGGATATAAGATATCTTGTAGCAGTTACCATGGTGATAAAAGGAGCCCATATTGCATTCAGAGTGCATAATTTCTTTAGCTAGCTCTAAAAAAAAAGTTCTTCCATTCTGATAGCAATGGTAGGTTAGGGCATTTCCAATGTTGTCACAGCAGCTATTTAAAGAGTACCACTGCTGCTAGAGTTGGGGCTCTTAGACATGGCAAGAATATGTAATATTTATCTAGTCCTAAAATGCACAATTAGCCACTGTGGACTGGGAGGTTGACAGCTTTACCAATACTCTCCTATATTTCCATCCATAAACTGGACAAGGTCACAGTATGTGCCACAGTCTCAGCGGAGGCACCAAGTACTAAATGAGCATGGAGTCTGAATTACCTTGTCCCCCTAACCGCGGTCCTTCCAGACCAGGGACAAAGTCTACTAGTGAGGCAGCATGGGAAAAGTTTGCAGTATCTGTATGCACGCTGTACCTGGGCTGTGAATTTCAATCTCCAGAGCTGTCAATCTAGCACCTTTAATTAATTTTGCTGAATTCGCTAAATTAACAAAACAGGATTTCTCCTAAGCATGCAACGAACACATGCAAAATCTGCCCCTTGAAGAGTATTTTTACATACTAGATGCCTCACATTCAAGCAATCATATGGATTAATAGGCAAACAGTGATGTCGATGGAAAGTATCTTTATAGCCCAAAGGCTGGGAGCATGGGGTTAGAAAAGGGAATGAAACCAAATCACTTGAGACAGATCCCAATGTGATCTTAGGAGTTTGAGCAGAGGAGTTAGAATTCACGCATTATTTAGCTTGATAGCATTGGCTGCCAGAAGTGGCAGAGGGCTAGCTCAACCATTCAGTGAGCCCTACCCATCCCCATCCTGACGTACCCAGGTGTTTGAGGGCAAATGGCCCCAATGGTCTTCCTTCCCAGGAAGGCGATGTGGGATGGGGTCCATAGAACTCTGGGGTGGAGAAGTGGGGGAAGTGGCCATTAATGAAGAATCCAGCTTTCTCACAGACTGATTCAATAGCAGGCGCAGTTGACAGGAGCGATGGGGTGGCTCCTTTACAGCCACTGGAGTCAGCATTTGATGGCTGAGCTGTTGCGTGAGGCTGGGAGATTAACTTTTTTGGGGAAGACTTGAGTAGGGAGGAAGGAGGACGGAAAAGACAAAGGGGGATGACGAAGTAGGGATTAACTAATATGCAGGGACTGAATATAGCTGAAGACTAGATCAGGAGAGAGGAGGCAGGTTTGAATTAGGCAGTAAGTGTGGGGTAAGAACTGGAGGAAAAACATGGGATAGAATTAGCAGGAGAAGAAATAAAAGGAGAAAGTCACTACACAAATCATGAAACTAATAATATAAATGTTGAATTTCATCTGCTCCTGTATTTTCATTCCCTCCCCCACCCCTCACCTCTTCTGTCTACTTTGACTGTAAGTGTTGCAGGGCAGGAGCCTCTCTAATTACATCTGTGTCATTTTGGGATATAAATAATGTCCCAGCATCTTAGGTTAACTAGGCTTCTTGTTGCTCTGAAGATAAATATAAGTTTAGGTTTTTCATCATCAAATTTTGCCCTACATTTCCCCTTGTCTGTCTGTCTCTCTCTCATCTAGGACTACTGTAGCAGCCTTATCTGCCAAACATTTAACCTGGAACGAAAAATATATCAACCAAAGGCTTGGAGTGCCAGTTACTGAATGCATGGTGAAGAATCGAAGAGCACCGAAGAACACCTGTTTGAAATCTAGTCTTTCACAAAGTCCGGTTCTTCATTGTGAGAAATACCTTCCCCAACTCTGGTCTGAACTGTAAATAAAAATTTGAACCACAGATGGATACATGTATGCTGTTACAAACAGGAGGGCAAGAACTTGCTGAGTGAAATAGTACCAAAACGTGCTGCTTGGAGAAATTTTGGTGTAACAAGGAGCTGTTCATTTAACAGGTATGCCCCCTTTGTGAACCCTGTTAGGTTTGGTGCACACAAAATTAGTTCAATTTACAGATATACTATTAACAGGTCACCCTTTTGGTATATGGAAAGTTCCACTCTTTTAACTAGTGTAGTCCTTTATTAGAAATTAATGTCAAAGCTCTGTGCTGCATTCAGGAACAGACTGGCCAGGTCACAGGCTGGATGCTTTGTGACAAGCACAGGCCACAGCTGACAGGGTAGCTCTACACCTTGAGACCTCCACCCTATCTCCTATTAGATTCTTCCACCAGACCCCTCACCCAGCTTCCTCCATAGTACAGATTCTCCTCTCACTCCAGATGCCCACAAACTTGCCTCCACAGTACAGGCAGACAGCTATTCTCTGACTTCTGTCCTACCCCAGTGCAGACGGATACCCATCCTCACTGCTGTCCACTTCAAGCAGAAACTCCCTCATGATCACATACAGGTCCTAATAGTGTGGGTTCCCTTCCCGTATAGCCTCAGCTACTTGAATGCAGGGACTTGCACATGCCACCCACTGACAACGTTTTGAAATAGTGCTTTGTCCAGCTGCACCATGCTATAGATTGTGGGCCATAATTCACCAGATGCCAGCACTTCAAAGAGCACCCATATGCCAATATGCCCTGGGCTGTATTTAAACAGATATTGTTTAACTAAGCTCTACTGTAATCTCCAGATTCACAATGGCTACATGAGCACAAAGGTGTCTGCTACCTGTGTCCCTGCTGCTTTGCGAAGCTGTGTCATTCTCCACATTGTAGATGACTGTCCCCTGCGAGTCAGAAGAGAAGTGACTGACCACAGACTCATGATGTGAGTGTTTATAGGGATAGCTGTCTGTAGAGGAGTCTGTCCTGGTGTCACTCGAGATGGAAGGCTCCCTCCCTAATGAAGGAAGTAATGGCAAATGTCAGCCTCTATTTGGGATATACAAATAAGGAGAGATTATGACAGAAAACAGAAACAGAATGGAGGAAACTAAACAGAAGCAAAGAAACAGGTTTAGGAGCAAAGGGATATGGAGAATCACCTACACAATATTCATAGATTCAAAGATGGTGGAATTGACTGGGTGGAGACTCATGTCATCTAGTCTGACCCCTTTTCATCTAGGGGAGAGGTCAAAAATATACTTTCCATAAATATGACTATGATGAAAACTTTACCAATCTCCACGTGAACTGTTAACAAATTAGTTAATTTCAAGATGATTTTGTTCTTTATTAACTAACAAGCCTATTAGCATAATTAAACTGTGGAACTGATTGCCACAAGATTGCACTGAGGCCAAAAACTAAGTAAGATTCTAAAAGAGAACTGGAGATTTATACGGATAACAAGAATATCCAGAATTATAATAGTTAGTGCTAAGAACTTTCAAAGAGATATTAAATTTCATGCTTTAGGGTTTAAACCAATCTAACTATTAGGGAATAGGACACATCTGCTTAATGCAAGGTATCTTGCACCTTTCCTCTTAAGCACTGGGTGCTGGCTGCTGTTGGAGACAGGTTCCTGCACTAGATGGACCACAAGTTTGATCGAGTATGGCATTTCTCGTATCCCTAAGCCCTTTAAAATATATATATACAGATTTCTCTTTCTGTCCTTTTTTCCTCAACCTGCAGGAAAAATACTTTGAGTAGTTTACAGGGTGTTGTGTAGGTACAACATACCCACCCACACATACCTGTGCACGTGATGAAATTAAAGAAACGCAAAACTGAACACATGAGCTCTCTATTTAGTTATGTAAGCATTTAGTTCCACAGCCACTTTGATTTCTTCTGGGAGCAAATCCAATAGTCTACGTAAAATTTCTGTGAAAGTTGTCTTCTGGACTCTCAAGCCTCCCCCTACTGGTTAAAAGTGTCATTATTCCTCAGAAATGTGGTGGGAGATCATGGTCATGAAAGGAAAGATGATCTTGGGTAGCAAGAGAACAATCCCATGGAATGCTTTGAGTATCAGGGCACGGAGCTTGAAATGGACTCTGTATTCAACAGAAAGCAAAGCTTCACAGGGAGGCATTCACAGTGAGCTTTATGACTATGCAGAGAGAGATTTGTAACATTTTGTACCAGCTGAAGCTCTCTCTAAAGAGCGTGGCTTCAGTCCTAGATATGATGAGATACAATGATTAGCATGAAGATCTGCTTCTTATAGGATAGGGTGCAATATTATGGTCAGTCACAGATGGGCAGATTGATTTAATCAGAAGGAAGAAATTTTTTTTTTTAACTGATGTTGTAGAGGAGACAAGTTCTTTGAAGCATTTCTCTCTTTCTACTAGCACCATATCAGTTTGTCTGGGTTCAGCTTTAGACAGTGCTCTTCATGCTTATTTCAGCTAGGCACTGATAAAGCTGGGAGATATATTATTGATGTTTGACATAAAGGAGTTGCAGAGCTAGATGTCATCTACATTCTGCTGGCACCTCAACCCAGCCCTCTCAACAGCTTCATATAGATATTGAATAATGTGAGGGAGAGGACCAAACCTTGTGGGACTCAGTAGTGAGGATTTTGGAAATGGAAGAATAGATTGCTCGTAATGACCGTCTGCGTTTAGTTTGAAAGAAAACACCTGAACCATTTTAGGATGTTTCTATTCAGCTCTGAAGCTTCTTGGAAGCAAGTCAGGATACAATAGGATCAGATGCTGAAGAGAGATCCAACAGAATGAGTATGGATGTACTTCCCTTGGAGGTCAACCAGAACTACAAGAACCGTCTTTGTAGCATGTCCCGGCCTGAAACTTGCCAGAGATACTAGCACCTAACAGGTGGCATTGGAGACTCTTTTTTGCAAAGTTCTCAATTAGCTTGCTTAGAAATCGGAGACAAGTCATTACGGGCTTTTCTACACTGGAACTTTACAGCGCTGCAATTTTTTCACTCAGGGGTGTGAAAAAACACCCCCTTGACTGCTGCAAGTTTCAGCGCAGTAAAGCGCCAGTGTAGACAGTGCACCAGTGCTGGTAGCTATTCCCCTTGTGGAGGTGGTTTTTTTATAGTGTTGGGAGAGCGCTACACAGCCACGTTAAAGCGCTGCTGCGGCAGAGCTTCAACGTTGCTAGTGAAGACATGCTCGAAGTGGTTGTGTACAAAATCTATTGTTGAGTGATGGTTTCATTAGTATTGATTGGAATGTTGCTTGTTTTAGGGTGCGTGATAGATTCCCCTCATTATATGATGTAATGACAATCTGTTAGTAGAGGCCCCAGATGCTCCCTACATCTTCACCAGCCAAAAAGCACAAGGACCAGAGTCACAGGTGGTGACCATGACTACCATAACTGCTTTTAAAACTAAAGATTTATCTACACAAATAATTAGACATGGCAAGTTGGGTTGTGAATATACCCCACACTAGCAAGCCGTGGTCTAAATATCCATATGTATCTGCTGACATGTGTTAACAGTTCATTAGAGCGCTTTGATCTAGTCTCTCTCTCAAAGTGCATTAACAAACTGTTAATGCACATCAGCAGGATGGACAGTTACACTGCAGCAGGCTAGCGCAGGGTAGATTCACACCCAGCTTGCCATGGTCTAATTGTTGTGTAGACAAGCCCAAATCGTGTGAATGGGTAGAATTCCTGGAAGGAAGGTGCTATTTTTCTGGTCCTGCGCTCAGACTGCTGTTCTTGGCAACCTATGAAGCCCTCCCAAACGCAGGTCAGCTTCTCTGTAAATATCCAAGAATAGAATCAGCCTTCCTCGCAATACTACCACAGTGTAAGCTCATGTACAGTTTATATCCACCACCACAATCTCTCTTTTTGATTGCTTTTAAAATGTGCCTCTCAAAATGCCTATACTTCCTCTTCTTTACAGGAAGCTCATCTCACTTCAGTCTGTTCAGTGTCCTAATTTATCCAGGTAATTAACAAATTAGCCTTCTCTTCATGATCATTATTTCAAACATTTAGCAGACTCAGAACTCATTTCCGAAGGCATCTTACTTGACCACATCCTTCCAATCCAATGGAACACCACCGACAGCACTGTGTTTTCTCTCCCTAATCCATTAGTGTATCATATCAGTACTATATTGCTGGATAATACAGGATATTTAAGAGAGAGTATTGGATTGGATGCCTCATTTAAACCCCAAGAGATTCATGTTGGCAGTCACTCTCTTTATGCATTCTGTATGTTCTGTCAAAAGCATTGATCACCTTCTCTTACGTTTTGTGCATCTCTGCTCCTGTTTCTTTCTTGTTAAAAACTTAGGATAATTTTATGAATTCAATCACTAGATAAATCTTATACTGTTCCCCTCTACACAAAGATCCTTCCATATTTTTGTGTCAGTATTTTCTCCTAGATATACTTAGAAAAGACAAATTTCCAGACATTTAAAATGACAGAGACCTTGAATGTTTTGTGATTAGATGGGTTTTTTGTAATCATTTGGCTCTCTTTATACATTTAAAAAGTAAAATTACATGCTCATCCTCTGGTTTAGCAATAGCATTTGGTCTCTTGAAATTCTGGCTGTCACAATCTGGGAATGCTCCAAAGACAGTGAATTCTGCCCTGGATGGAGTAAAAGAGGATGGCTCATCACATTACTTAACGGAAACCTTTCCCAGATGATGTTTGGTCTTAAAGAGAAGCCCTGAAAGCAAGTCTTTCAGGCAGGAGGATGTACTTGTAATTTATGGAGCTGTAGTTTGGAAGGGAAGGTTTAAGAGTTAAATACTGAGGATCCTTCTCAGGACTCTAGGTCAGCTTTGATCAGTGACAGAGACCTGGCTAGCAAAATATCACCCAAAATGAAGCAACATTTTTCTAACAGTTCAGCTGCAATGGAGATGGGCATAAAGTGTACAGTTCAGTCTGTTTACCTGAGTCCTCGCTATCATAGCAAGTCCTGCTATACTGCTGTAAATCCACCTGAGAGGGCAAGTCTTGCATTGACACTGGAGTTCCTCTTGGATCTGCATAAAGCAGCAGCAAAGGCTGATAATGACCCTTGATGCACTTTGTCACAACATCTTTCCACTTTGGACCAATCTGAATTAAAAAAACAACAACAAGAACAAGAACACTGCTCAGCTTTTCTTTTTACTTCTCTCAGGCAAACCAAGAGACTGGTTCTTAACCTCTTCATATGCTGCACTGTACAATCAAGTAACACTCCCTGAACACCTTCCCGCCCTCCCCCCCACAAGATTCTTGATGCCCAAGGTGACAAAGGACAAGTGATAAGTGATCACAATAAAGCTGCACTAATTCTTCCCAGAGCCCTACTCTACATTCACATGCTGAAGCATTTCATGCTTGTTATAAACTCTGAAATGTTACTGAAAGTAAAGATGTTAATTAAAATTGACATTTCCATGCCTTCTTCTGACAGCCACCATACTGCAAAAAAGGGACAATTTGTGATACCAGCTGGACGGGAGCCCACTGTCAGCAGACCAGAAACAGTTTATGCCTTGTTTTGATAATTGAGATATTTACTGTTTTATAGTTAAACAAAATTAATGTTTGCTAGAATATAGGCTTAAACTAATATTCTTTCCCATTCAGAGTTTACTCATGCTAAGAAAAACTTTTTACCACATGAAATTTCCCAACACTTCACAGACCAAAATCAGGGCACATTTTTAATGTTATAGCTTTGGTACTAATTAATCTATCATAATTTACAAAATGCATTAAGTAAAAAAAAATCAAACACGCAAACCACAGATTTCCAGCACTGGGATTAATTGAGATCACAGCTAACATTCGGTGAAGACTCATCCAGCATGCAAGGGGTTAAACACCTTGCTGTATAATCATTTCTTCTTCTGAAAGGTCAGCATGACTGTAGTTTCTGTTTTGGTGAGCTGGACTTTAATTCTTGCAGCCAGTATTCATTTGAAAACACTTCCCTGTGTTTTAGTACAGGTTTGCAGAGATGCACAGAACATCTACTCCAACAGGTCTGCTCCTTACACAGGTATTCTGTTACAGCACCGTATTATCCTTGGCAGGGTTTTACTGCAGAGGAACGTGACCAAGAACAAGTGGAAGGCTTATAGCTCTCCCTTAGAGACTGTGCTTGGTGAGATTACGGAAGAAAGCTTTCCTTTGTTACTTTTGTGCCTTTGTGACAAGGGGAAATAGAAGGGGAGGGGCATGAGATGAAGCCCAATGAACTAATGAGATGTAGTAACCATGTGCCAAGATCCCAGTGCTGATGGCTTTGGTGCCAAGCATTTCATCCTAGGCGGAGGGGGAAAAAAGGCACTGGTAAGAGAGGGAAGAATGCGCCTTAGGAAACAGCTACTAGAGGGGTGTGGCATCCAGATATTTCTACTCTAAACCTGAGGAGAAGGGACTCAGTAACAACACCATTTGTCAGGAGAGGGCGTGAGAAATACATCCAACGGCACAGGTGAATTGTAGGATTCCAGCCAACAGCATAAAGGCAAGACTGGCAGGCAATTAAACAGAACCAAAGAGAAGGCCTTTGGGCTTTCTGGTACCACTGAACAGTTGTCAGTTTACCTGGTACTGGTTGCCATGCAGGTCTCTGCTGTACAGAAGTCCACAGCTGTTTCAACTTTTGCCATCAGCAGTGCAGGCACCAAGAAATCAAAGAAAGGTCAATGGGAATTAAATAACAGTCTGAGGTGACACCACGAAGATCAGAAATAATGTAGATCAGAGGGACCCTCCCATCACATAACTAGAAGGCATCTTTGAATGGAGAAGAAATAGGATCCTGAACACTTTTTCTCTTCTTCCCTTTCCCCTTCCGGGTCCCTCAGACTCTTCACCCTCTCCCCTCTCTTAGGCCTTATTTTTATTTCTTTACGATTCTCCCATTTTAAATGGGTTATCCTCTGCTGCAAAATCAGGTCTTCTGGAGAAAGCATCTCCTCCATCGGACTTACAGAAAGCATTAGTTCGTTCAGAGAAACCTTTAGGAGCAGTGGAGTTAAGTAGGACCTCAGGTGTGAGAACACACACAAAGTTTCTGGAAATCTTTGGAAAGCGGTATGGATCTACACCCTCACCAAATAGTTCTTAGCATTTACAAAAATAATCTCCTATTTCCTTACCTCTTTGACATGGGCATCATCAAAGTACATCCACTTGCGGATCTTCGTTTGGAAGAAGAAGGTAGAGTAATGTTTTCCGTAGTAACAGATCATTCCCACCAAATACAGCTCTGACTGTTTTGCTCTGTCATCAGTTACTCTGAAAAAGAGCTTCAAGGGGTGCGGAAAAGGAGAGAAGAAAAATTATATAATAAAATACTGTGTTTCATTTGAAGAGCTAAAAATGCTTTACAGAGCTGCGTTAAGTGTTATATGCCATTTTTTCAGATGGAGAAATTAAGGCACAGAATGGTTAACTGATCGGTCCACGGTCATACAACAAGTCATTGGCAGAGGTGGGAACAGAATCCAGGTTGCCTGACAGCCCACAATTGTCTTGTAAGGAAGGCATTTATATCAATGATGTAATCCCCTGTTAGATTTTAAAGTGTATTTCTGCTCTGAAAATTAATAAAAATGGCACTTTCTTTCTCAACAAAAAGCCTACTCTCTGTATGTTTTCTGTTATATCTTGTGGCTCTACTGAGTGACTTTTAAAAAGCTACTCTTTACCTCTCTCTCTGCACTGCACAGCCAACACTGTTCTGGTATGGAAGAAGGAGCTGAAGTCTGTTCTGGCTCTAGCAAGGACAAATTTAAGTCAGTGGCCTTGTGAAGGTGTAACTGAGGGCAGTAGTGGGCCTCCAGAGTCTATCAGTGGTGGAGGCTTTCAGATCCCAAGTTGATTTGCAGGCCAGGCAGTCAGAAAAATCATGTGTTGACTTTTAAAATTGACCAAATTTCATTTAGAAATCACTGACACACAAAAAAGCTCTTTTGGAGTCACTTTTCAATGCATTACTGCTTTACATTTTAAGGGCCAAATTCTGTTCTCAAGTGATGCATCTGCAACTTAGTGCAGATTCATGCCAAATAGTTTAATTCGTTTCTCAGTGTTAAGTGAGTCACTAGTGATAATTCCTATTATGAGCCACACCAACAGTTTAGACCTCAAATTTAAGTTATTTTAAAAGTGCTGAAGTCTCAGAGGAACTGACCTCCAGAGTCTAATTACAATATAATATAACCATATTCAGTCACTGAGAAATTTAAGATACAACAACAGCCAGTACCTCCCAGTCTCTTGTGTTATCTCTAAAATAACTCCAGAGCTGGGACCAAATCCTTGGATGGGGTTACTTAGGAACAAGTTTTTTAAAAAAAAAACATAACACATTCTGGCTCCATTACAAACACAGACAGGAATAACTATTGTTCAAATGGAAACCCCCCCCACAAATATTGGTAGGGAAATAGACAGCTATTTTCAAAAGCGATTGGCCCAAATTAAAATCAGAAAATCTGCCTGAACATGGGAAAAATTTGGATTCAGATCTAAAATTGGCACTTTGAGGCCATTTCCAATTTTCAAGCACCTAAAGTGACATTAAAAATATAAAATTATTAGAATTAACATTTTAAAATATACAATTGATTAAGAACTAATATACAATTAAAAATTTTGTACAAGTGTGCTTGTCAGTGTTCTTTTAAATCTGATCCCAACAGTTGCAACTACCCACTAGTGCCAGGGAAGTAAAATGATTAGGTAAAGGACACACCACCTATCAGAGTAGTGGGACCATTTCCTTCCTCTCTTCTATTCCCCTCAGTATTATGTAGCAGATCTTGTTCAAAGAGCAGAGTACTCACAAAGGGGAGTTACCTAAACTATGGTAGTAAGGAAGAGCAAGGAGACAAATTGTTGATTTGATCTGATGCCAACAGTTTTTCACAGGCTTAGTGGAGCAGTCACATAGGACCCAATCCTTGGGTTGCAGGATTGGGATGATCAGAGGCAAAGGTGGCTGCATGTCATCAGGGCCGGCTCTGGCTTTTTTGCCGGGGGGGGCGGCCGGAGCCCCTGGGGCAGGGCCGCGAGCCCCGGCGGGTGCTCGGCTCTCCCGCCCCTCCCCCGGCGGCCAGAGCGCCGAGCCCCGGCGGGGGCTCGGCTCTCCTGCCCCTCCCCCGGCGGCCAGAGCGCCGGGGGCAGGGCGGCGAGAGGGCGGCGAGCCCCGGCTGGGGCTCGGCTCGGCTCTCCCCCCGGCGGCCAGAGCGCCGCGCCGCCCCCCTCCAGGTGCCGCCCCAAGCACCAGCTTGGGTGCTTGGTGCCTGGAGCCGGCCCTGCATGTCATGTTTATGCTCCCATGATCCCAGAATCAGAGGTGAACCTGCATTCTGAATGCATACAAGTGAACAGCACAGACATGTCTTGGGAAAAGGGGATTTTGAGAGATTGTCAAATGTGCAGTAGACTCACATCTCCAAGTTTGAGGCAGGTGCCCAGGCTGTGAATGACATCCTCAGCTAGATCAGAGTGGTCTGAATCCCACACCAGCCCAATGGTCATGATCTGGGGAGAGTTCATGAGCACACGACGTATACGGATCTTTTCCCCACAGTTACTCTGAAACAAAACAAAAATCCGCATAGACATTTTTTATAATTAAAACTGAATGGAATATACAACTTCACAGTTTACTGTATTACCACTGCAGGGTCTTGCCTCTTGCTTCAATATAGAAGGTGGCTGGAGTGCAGCAGATTCTACATGCTCAACATATGAAGATGGAAGAGAGAACAGCAAACTATGATGACTATGTGATGATTGATGCCAAATTCTGCCTGGTATTCACATGTGAATACAGTCAATTCTTCCTCAGATGAAGGATAACGGTTAGAAGATATAATTGCCCCAAGGGAGGCATGTAAAATAGGGAGTATGGGTAAAATTGGAGGGTGCTCAAGACTCCAGTGGGAATTGGAAGCATGGCTCACTTTTTATCACATATTATTGGTATCATTCTCTATTTTCTTTTCATCTGCACCCGTGGCTAAAAAGTACGTTTCACACTGTTGAATCATGAAAGATTTTAGCAAAAATACCAGCTGACTGCACTCCATGATCTCAGTTTATACAAATCCAGATCATACTGGATTCATTAAGATTAGACAAATATCAGACAATATTCAGCAAATACTTGGAATCATCCATAATGCCAGATCAAAAAGAGATTCATTTATTTTCTTATAACTTAATACAAAGAAAGCCTTTTATAGAATAGAGGGGAACTTTCTATTTCAAGTCTGTCCCATATTGACATTGGCCCTCAGGTGCTTAAATGGATAACTGTTCTTAACCTGAGCCCAAAAGGAGCTGGGAGAGTTAATGTGGTTAAATTTACCATGTTTGAATTACACAGAGGGATTAGGCAGGGATCTCCATGGTTATTTTTATTTTTTGCACAGATCATGAAACCTTTTGCACAGGAGATACAGGAACAACGAACCTACCTATCACAAGAACAAAACTTGCAGGAACACATCAGAAAATAGCTTTATATGCAGATATTAATTTTATTTATACAAAAATTGTCAGTATTTCCCTAAAATTAGTTTCTATACAAATGCATGACTTGGGAAAGCATCTGGATTTAAAGTAAATTATGCCAAATCTGAAAAGCTAGCTACAGATTTGCCAGATTCTGAAAAGTCAATCCTCCAGAAAGCATTTGGATATGAACGGGCAACAAATTCTATAAATACCTGGGAATTCAAAACTCAAACAACCCAGAAGAGCTCTACAGTTTAAATGTTAGACCACTACTTTAGCATATGAAAAAAGATCTGGGATGCTGACAGAAGTATACAATTTCTTGGTTGGGAAGAGCTGCCACAGTCAAAATTAATATTTTGCTAAGGATATCTTTCTGGTTTCAAAATCTTTCTGTGACCATCCATAACACCCTAGCAGGAAAACAGAAGATGTTATCAGAATGTACATGGAGTAAGTAAAGAGCAAGTGTGAGTGCAGATACTTTGTACGGTCCTATTAAACAGGATGGACTAGATCAGCGGTTCTCAAACTTTTTTTTTCTGAGGACCACTTGAAAATTGCTGAGGGTCTCAGCGGACCACTTAACGATCTTTCCAAATGTTGTTTGTACCATTAGCTAACTATTGTAAAGCGCTTTGGATAAAAGCGCTATATAAAAAAACCTAATAATAATTAATAATAATAATTAACTTTTTTTGTTCTACAAATAAAAGCACACAACTCATTTTCATATAAGTAGTTTTACCTTTCTAATGCGATGGATGTGCCCCCTCTCCCCTGCCGCAGCAGGCCCCAAGCTGGGGCTGGGAAGTAGGGGGGGGGTCTCTCCCTCTCTCCCCACCGCAGTAGCTGCTGAGCTGGGGCAGGGAAGGTGGGCCGTCTCTCCCTGGCAGCCACAGCCCTGGAGCTGGGGAAACTTGCCTCTTTCTCTGGCTGCCGCAGCCCTGCACATCCCAAATTCCCCCCAACCCCTCTTCTCACCCCACTGCCCCCTCCCACCTACACCCTATTCCTGCCAAGGCCACCACCTCACCTTACATGTGCATCTTCTCCAGGGTCCAGGCAGCTAATTAGTGGAGCCACGCCTGCACCCTTAATTTGCTTGTGTGCGGCCACACAGGCACACACCTTAGAGGGAACTATCTGCGGACCACCTGAATGGAGCTCACGGGCCACAGTTTGAGAACCTCTGGACTAGATGTTCCAAATATTCAAGGCAGCAGTGGACTGGGAGGCACTCTAACCAGGGCCGGCTCCAGGGTTTTTGCCACCCCAAGCGGAAAAAAAAAAAAAAAAAAAGAAGCCGCGATCGCGATCTGCGGCGGCAATTCGGCGGAAGGTCCTTCGCTCCAAGTGGGAGTGAGGGACCGTCCACCGAATTGCCGCCGAATAGCTGGACGTGCCGCCCCTCTCCTGAGTGGCCACCCCAAGCACCTGCTTGGCAAGCTGGTGCCTGGAGCCGGCCCTGACTCTAACCTAGACAAACACTGGAACTCTTAGTGCCAACTTAGTGGGGCTCCAGAAATCTTCTGGTTCTGGTATGTATATTCTGGTTCACCGAAGAACATAATGTGAGATTTCAACTGAAAGCCAGTGACACACTGATCATCAATATCATTGTGAAATGTATGTACCTGTACCATTCAAGGAGTTATATCTCTGTACCAGAAAATTATGTTCTTGAGCATCTATGTTAAAAGCAAGTCACCAAAAGCTGACATGTCTTAGGCCTTGTCTACACTACAGAATTTTGTCGACAAAAGTCAGCTTTTGTCAATAAAAACAGTGGAGATATATTCACTACCATGCTCCTTTCACTGACAAAAATGTCCTGTTTTGGAGACAAAATAAAACCACCTTGACGAGAGGCGTAGAGCTTTTTGTGGCAAAGTTATATCGACAAAGTATCAGTGTAGACACTGCGCTTGGTTATGTCACTGTAAACGCCCTCCAGGAAGTGTCCCAAAAATGCCCATCCTGACTGCTCTCGTCAGCAATTCGAACTCCACTGCCCTCCATCCAGGTGCATAGGCTTCTGCCCCTCGCCCTTTAAAGGCCCTGTAATTTTTGGAATTCCACTTCCCGTTTGCCCAGCATGGAGAGCTCACATTGCATCTTCCCAGTTGACCATGGCAGCTCCACAGCGCAAATGCTCTCCAGCTTGGAGCACACCAGAGTTGTTGCATCTGCTGGGTCTGTGGGGAGAGGAGGCTGTGCAGTCCCAGCTCCGCTCGAGCTGTAGGAACTTTAAGAACATAAGAATGGCCATACTGGGTCAAACCAAAGGTCCATCTAGCCCAGTGTTCTGTGTTCCGACAGTGGGAAATGCCAGGTGCCCCAGAGGGAATGAACAGAACAGGTAATCATCACATGATCCATCCCTTGATGCCCATTTGATACCTACAGTCAGATTTTTCATGGCATGTTGAATAAGGGCTACAAAGGGGACAACACAACAGTGCCATGTGAAGATAAAGGAGCTGAGGCAGGCGCATCAGAAGGCCAGGGAGTCAAACCGTCACTCTGGTGCTGCACCAAAGACCTGCCGCTTCTATAAGGAGTTGGACGTCATCCTCGGCGGTGATCCCACCTCCACCGCCCAGGGCCCAGTGGATAGCCAATCTTTATTTGTCTCCTACACGTGGTGGTTGCTGCTGGAATTAATACACAGTGGCAATTTGATCGTTCGCTGAGTACAAAACAGTCAGGAATCATCAAAATTTTCATGCAAGGCAGCAAGTTAACAAAGCATGGCAAGAGTGTTGTATAAAATGTATAAATACATTACTGGATCTCATTGTCAAAATGGCACCTCAACCCCCCGATTCATTGTGCCCCTCTAATAGCGCTGGTATCTGGCTGCTCAAAATCTGCCGCCACACAATCTGCCTCCGTGCTCCAGCCCGGGGCAAACTTTTCACCCTTAGCCTCACAAATATTATGGAGTGCACAGTTGGCTGCTATGACCATGGGAATATTTTCCTCATTTAGGTCTAACCTGCCATGAAGGCAGCACCTGTGTGCTTTTAGTTAGCCAAAGGCACATTCAGTGGTCATTCTGCACCTGCCCAGCCTACTGCTGAAGCGCTCCTTGCTGCTGTCCAGGTTTCCCGTGTAAGGCTTCATAAGCCATGGCTGTAAGGGCATGCTGGGTCTCCCAGGATCACTATTGGCATTTTCAACATCCCCCACTGGAATCTTCTGGTCTGGAAAGAAAGTCCCTGCTTGCAGCTTTCCGTACAGGCCAGTGTTCCTGAAGATGCGTGCGGCATGCACCTTCCCGGACCACCCCACGTTGATGCCAGTGAAATGCCCACGGTGATCTACAAACATCTGCAATACCATAGAGAAGTACCTCTTTCCATTGATGTACCCTGTTGCAAGATGGTCCAGGGCCAAAAATCACAAGATGCCCCAGCAGTCTTAAATAGTAGCTCACCACGGTGAGAGGATAAGTCTTGAATTCGAGAACGAGGCTTTGCACTGCAAGAAATCTCATCTGTGGAAGTGAGGCCCTGGCTGCTGTCGAGTCTAGAATGGGTCCAATAAACTCTATTTTCTGCACTGGAGATAATCAACACAGACAATTCAGTCCTATCAGGCTGAGTGCATCAAAGGTGGACCAGATTATGCAGATGCTGGACACCACCTGTGATCTCGATCAACCTCTTATCAGCCAGTTATCCAGGTGAGGGAATCCAGAGGAAAGCTGCTACATACACCGTAAAAATATGAGGGGCAGTCGAGAGACCAAAGGAGAGGACTGTGAACTGATAATGATGGCCACCAACAGTGAATCTTAGAAACTTTCTGTGACCCTGCTGAATTGCCACATGAAAGTAGGTATCCTTTAAATCAAGAGGAGCATACTAGTCCCTCAGCTCCAGGGAAGGAATAATGGAAGCCAAAGTGACCATCCAGAACTTCAGTTTTTTTATAAGGAACTTCTTTAACTGCCTTAGATCTAAAACAGTCTTGAGACCCCCTTTTGGCCTTCAGTATCATGAAGTATTGGGAGTAAAACCCCTTTTCCCTGAACAAAGGAGAAACCTCCTCCATGGCTCCTACAA